CCCCGCCGAGCGCCTGTGTTCTGACGCGGTGCGGTTACGAGCTCTGCCAGATTTCTCTCGCATCCGCTTGCTATTGTGCGTTTTGCCTCTCACTGATTACTCTTTGTGCGGCTCTCGGAATTTACTTGCTTTTTGAAAACAAAAATATTGCGGTTCGTGGCAGTAGAACCCCGTTGAAATGTGTGCCTTGGAAATATACTCATAAGCTACCGCGATGTATGTGTACAAACGATTGTTCCCCTCAGCCAGTTCATGAAAGAAGGCTGATGTGCGTATCTCTGGGAGTGATCCCGCAGGCACAGTCCTTCGGACGCCAAGTGTACAGTAGTGGCGTTGTAACCGTCGCGTTGGCATCCGCTCTCAGGGAGGTCTCCACGTCCCGCCGTCTGTTCCCCCACTTCTCCCACACGCTTGGCATACGTGCCTTGCTTCTACGTTCTCCTCAGTCCTCTCCACCATTGCGCCCCTTACAGAGTACCCCGTCCTCCATCTGTCTGTCCATTCTGACTGCTTCCACGGACTCGTCCACCTCCCGCATCGCTGTCCTCTCGAGCGTCATCGTAACTGCCGCCCCCTGGACCGCTGGCGCCCGTGCGTGACCGCGTCTCGGCCTCAGCCGCCGCCCCCGCCTCGACGAGTGGCCTCCGGGTGCGCGGCTGCCAGCGCCGCATAACCGTCATCGCGGCCGCGCGGTCGCCGCGCCGCCGCGGGCCCCGGCGCGCAGCGTTTTCGCGTGCGATGTGCCTTGATCCGCCTGGCGCCCGTTCTCGGGGCGGGCGGGCGCCTCCGCAACGGCGCCGCCGCCCCCGCCCCCGGCCCCGACGCCGCCGACGCCCGCGGAAAGGCGCTTTACGGCGCCGCACTGGCAGAAGCGTCGTAAAGCGCGGCCGATAGAGCGCCGAACGCCCTTCGCACGGAAGTGGACCGGTGAGACTGCTTGTGACGATTGTGCTGGTCGCCGGAGCGTTCAGCTCCAAAGGTAGGCAGGACGGGCAGCCGCCACGGATTGCATCTTGTTGCGGTAAAGGGATATTTTTTAGTCGCTTTCATTTGTTAGTGTTTTCTCGCGGTCTGTTTGTGTGAGTTTTTAAAATTACTTTATTTGTGTGTGGGTATCGGTATATGTTTTGTCTGAATGATGCACGTTCTGTGTGTTCTACTTGAGGTAAAATGGAAAGTCGTCTTTTTGTGATCAATGGGCAACATCACATTTTATTTTGCTTCTCGTTTGGATGTTTCAATACGGAAAAAACATCAGAGAAATAAACATATATCTGCGAAGCTATTCCAGGTAAACGCCGCATAATTTTGCATTGATTTTAATTAGTAATTAATTTGGTGGAGGGATATAAAGAGGATTATTTTATTGCTGAATGGATATTTACTTCCAATTTTAGTATCAGTATTCGTGTTTCGTTTCCACCTTGCTTTTCTAATCCAGGGGAAGTCTAAATACTGAATCATTTACGGAAATTGCCGAAGCTTATTGCTCCCCTAACCCTGCGGGGCTTAAAACGATTTCAGGATTCCCACTCATAAATGAAATATGTATACGTGTGGCTACACGTGCTTCTTTGGGGCTTGTTTGATTTGTATTTTATTGTTTTAAGTCTGCAAATTGTGGTATAATTGCTTATATATTTGCAATTAAGTGAGTTTTGCGAGAGAAATTTAAAAAATGTGTATCTATATTTTCTCGTTTATCCTTGTAATTTTATTTAAGTTATTTTCAAAATATCCTTGTGCTTCAATTCACTCCCAGATTTTATTTTTGTGTTTATTGATGTTCTTAGCATATAAAACAGGGGATGAAAGCATCATTTTGATCATGAAAACAAGATATATTTTGAAAATTGAAGGCCCGGTTTAAAAATAATCGTTTTCTTAAAAGGGAAGCGTGTTGTTAATGGTTCAAATGCTCCAAAGCCCCCAAGTCTTAATGTTAATTTAGAAAATCGTATGGAGATATTATTTCTAATTCAACAGGCCATATTTCCATATCGGTTCAATTCGTTCCCCAAGAGAAGGTCCCCCAGGCGCCGCGAACATTTCGAGATAACACGGACCCCGCGGCAAACGTTTCGAGAGCGTCCTACGTGACGCGTTCAAAAACGTCGGGTGACCTCTGCTCGTTCGTGACCGCCCTGCCCCGCCCCCTGCCAGTCCGCGGCGGCAGCGGCCGAGGCGTCGCCGCGCGGTTTTCCCTTTTCATTCTCGCTATTTTTTATCGTCGCTTTAACGCACGTGGGTAATGGACTTCCTCCCGGTGCGCGTCGCTTTACATATTCATTATTCAGCACACGCTACGTACGCGTCGCGATAACTATCGGCGCTGCGGACGGAATACATTAAGAAGGTAGCCGCCGCCGCCGCCGCCGCCGCCTGCCAGTGCATTGTTTGGACGGCCACGCGGCGGCGTCTCTCGCGGAGGTGCCCACGTGGCCGCTTTATGGGGCAGAGCTCGCCTCTTGATTTACGAGAAGCGCCCGCAGACGCTGTCCATCGCCATGGGAGCTGAGCGCAACTCCTTGCGTTATGGCTGCCTCGAAGGTGAGCTGTTTTCATAGCCGCAGCGCCGCCTTGATTAATGAGAAGATGAACGTCGACTTGCTGTTTTTGCGTCAAGGGAGCGTAACTGAAAACGTTTGGACGATAAAAATGTACATCGCTACGGTTATGTTTTTTCGTGACCAGTACATTAAATCAGGGAAGCCAAGTGGTTTCTGGTCAACACTTACTCTTCAGCACATTGGTTGATGGAATTTGATGGTCGATGAAAGACAACTTTTACAAATAAAAGTTGTTTTTGTTGTCGATTTTCGGGAATATTTTGTGTGTGATTCTTGACGCTCTTCTTATTTAGGAGTTCGAGACTCCTCACTTTCTTTGTTTAAATTGCTAACAATTCCAATAGTTGAATAATTTTACCTGTGCTTATACATAGTATCTACATAAACGTGAATTCCAGTAGATTGTTTACTATTTTTAAAAGCAAGTTTGCCATTAAAATACGTGTTAAATCAATTATTATAAATTGCAGATTCTGAGAAACTCACCTGCGGTGGCTTTAAATGTCGAGAACTTAATTTTTGGACCCATATTTTTATTTGTTACTTTTGTACAAGAAAATCTAAATAATAATACGCTTTTTATACAAAACAGTGATTGCAAAAATCTTTAATGAACATAAAAACTAATGACGGTATTCTCTGTTACATTAATGTAAAAAGTAATCTGCATATTTGATGAATTGCGCCGATGAATCTTGACAATAAAATAGTGGGTATCCCCCCCTCTCTGTGATCGAATTCTGATAAAATTCGTTGCATATGCTTTCCTCCACACAAATGTTCTATTCCGGATTTGGAATTTTTATTTTGAGAATACTAGGATACTAAAATGCTAATAATATTTAAGACAGTAATGCTGAAAAAAATTCTGCGAGAGTATGCCTCATGTGTAAGCGTGACGCGTCTATTTGCAAGCAGTAAAATCGCCGCGTGTGAGCCCAGCTTCGGGCCTCGGGCCGAAGAGGACCACAGGGTTTTGGCACACCGCGACTCCTCGGCGAGCGCGGCTGTGCTCCGCTCTGCTCCGCCTCACGGCCCGCGTCCGCGCCCTCGGGCATCGATCGGAGGCCTCGCCTCGCCTCGCCTCGGCTCGCCGCCACCGCCGCCGCCGCCGGCGATTCGGCGGGGTGCATACGCCGCCGGACTTAGCGCCGAGGCAAGACTCATCCGCCAGAACGCTGGCCGAGCCCGCTCTCCTCCCCCGCCCTCGCGTCGCCCGATGTGTGATTGGGAAGATACAGCGGCAGGAGGACGGGCGAGGAAACGGGCTGGAGGGCGGTCACGTGCGGCGCGGCTGCGACGGCGGCCGCTCGGCTGAGCCGCCCGGCAAACAGCACTTTGTGCGGGAGAATATATTGAACGCGGCGCGGCGCGGCGCGGCGTGCCCGTCCGTCGGTCCGTCCCGCCGCGCGCTCGTCCGCCTACCCACCCGCCACCGCCCTCCCCGCCATCCGCCGCAGCTGCGTCGATCGAGGCGAGGAGAGGCGCGGCACGGCCCGCCCCGCGCCACGCCGCGCCACGCCGCGGCGCAGCCGACGGACGCCCGGAGACGGGGAGCCCGGAGCGGGGAGCCTGGAGCACGCGCGGACGGGGAGGTGGCGGCGGCGGCGGTGGCGGACCGCCCGGAAAGGCGAGGCGGCGCTCTGCGGCGCACCGCCGTCGCCGCCGGCAACGCCGCTGCCGCTGCATTGCGCGCGGGATGAGAGCTCTCGAAGCGAGCGATTTGGCCGCCCTGCGCCCGAATTTCCACGCCGCTCTCCGTGCTCTGACAAGAGAGCCCGAGAATGCTCTCTTTTGCGCTGCTCCTCTGAAAAATCGCAAACGTCTTCTGTCATTTCTCCCGTACCTACAGCTTGCCTGTAATGAGTGAAATATCAGAATGACTCTCACTGATTTGTAAGTTTCACTCCAAATTGGTATTTTTGTATGATAATAATGAAATGAATGTAAAATCCCTTAACGTATCGAAATTTACTTTTAAAATATTTTAGAGATTAACTTAGAAATTTATTTTATAAAAATTTCAAGTTTCTTCTGATCTTTGTTTCAAGAAAACGTGTGGTTCGTGAAGGACATAAAATATGAGACTACTATTTTTTGTTAGGGAAAACACAAAATGAAAAGATATATTTTATAAATGGCGGATTTTAGAGGACAACTTTTTTAAAATTGTTTTCTAGGTTTCTAAAAAAATGTTCGGGCATTGAGAATCTTAGCTGTAAGACTCATGTTTAAACATTTTCCATTTACAGATCTTCTTAGTAGAAAAAAAATCCAATACTTCCTTGCTGGAAATGACATTGGATCCCTCGTTTTTCACATCGCATATTTTCATCTCGCCGCTTTCTTTTCAGGGAGTCCAGTGTCGACTTTGTAAACTTTCCTCGTCGTGTGCATTTTGATTATTTTCCTGCGGGACCGCTGTTTCAGGCGCCGTCTGTGATGCCGTTCTACGGAGCCAACTCGGGGGCGCTGCCGCCGCAGCCGGGCAACATGGTGGACCCGGGCGCGGGCTTCGCGCCGCCGCTGCGCGACCGCTTCCCCAACTCGGTGTGGCACCCCGCCGCCGGCGCAGACCCCAACGGAGTGGGTGAGTGACCACGGGCAGACGCATGCCCGACTAGTCAACTATATTTTTCACAAGCTCCACCTTACTAGCAGTCTCGCTCAGAAATTAAAACAGCCAAAAGTACTATGCATTACCGCAAAAAGTCAGATAAATTAAAAATCTACGTTTTCTACGTGGTCTCTCGACTACCATCAAATCAGAAAAACATACTTATGATATACAGTAAGCTTAGAAAATATACTAATAAAGTTACAAAGGTGCGTGTCTCCGAATAAATATTACTAACTTTTTAGGACATAAGGAGAGGATCGAAGATGATAACGTTTTGCCAATGAACGTGTAGTAAAAAATACCATAAAACGAAGTTACGCGTCGGCATTTACCCTTGACTGATAGGTAGCAACTCGTCTTGAACTGATGTGAACAGGTACGCCTTCTGACGAACTTAAACAGATTTCGTGTACCTGCGAAACATTAGCGTAAGACAAGTTGCCTACCAAACTGGGGCAAATGTCACACGTGTACTTCGTTTTACGGTATTTCTGACTATATGTTCATTAGCAAAACGTTCTGCCCTTCGAGTCTCTCTACATGCCTTAAAGTTCATAATACTTATTCTGAGACATCCGGTATAAGAACTGGTCTAGGTTTTAATACTAGTCATAATTAAAAGTTTAAAATGTGCAAGCTAAACTTTCAATGGAAAAAATATTGGAAGGGGGACAGAAAATGAATACATTAATCGGTTATTTGTTGTTGTTTTTTCAAGTATTTCATTTGTATTTTCTGAATTTATAATTTACACTACGATAACAGTCTGTACAGTTCGTATCTCGAAAAGCTTTCACAATGTTAAGACGAGTTAATCTCAAGAACGAAATTTGGGGATGAGCAAATTGGGGTCAAGAACCACCGAAATGCTACTATTTAGATTTGCGCGAGCCTACTTGACTTCCTGCCCCCTGCTTACCTCATTGGGTGGCTATGATGTTCTACGAAATATCTTACACCAATAGTAAATGAAATTGAAATTAAAGACACGTTTGCCAATTTAAACTTATGAAGAGATAAACGTCGTAATCGAATTGCCGTAAGTTAAAGTTAAAGTTTTATTATAATTTTCAAAGTTTCAATAGTATTGCTCACGAACACATAAAAACGTTTATATTGCCTATATTTTGAGGACTTTATACAAACCATTGCTTCTAAACACAACTCCCTTAAACATTTGAAGCTTCCCATGTCCTGTCACATAATTATTTCATTTTTTAGTGATGTCCTACAATGTCCAAGCTCCAAAGTACGAATCTCGCTCGATATAAATGTACAAAGATGTATTTAATGATAGATATTAGGATACTATAATTATTATTATTATTATTATTATTATTATTATTATTATTATTATTAAGAAAAAATTAATTCGATGTACATATATCCTCATCCAGCTGCCCTGGAACATACTACCTACAGCCACCCTACTCATAAAGCCACCTCGCCTTTGCCTACTTTATTATGGCTCACCCGTACCATTTTCACCAAGATCACCGTTGTTAACACCACCATTGCCCTGGGCAGCTGTAAATGTACATTGTTACATACTTCCGCCAGACTTAAGTAACAATTTTTATTTTCGGTTACTCAAAGCATATTGACGCTATTGGAATGATAAAAACCTTTAATAGCAAATGTCGAGGGCTTTGAAACTTTTAAAGCAATTTGATATGTATCCTTACTCAATATTCGCAAAAAAAAAAAAAAAAAAAAAAAAAAGTGGACAGACACTTTTCTCTCATATTGAAACATAAGTTAGGAAGACAGGAATTAAACGTTATATTTGTATGAAAAAATCCATTATTTTTATGAAATATAAAATCGTAATTTGAAAACAAACAGTCCCTAAGTTATGATCAACAAAATACTTCATCAGTGAAAACCCCACCAAAATTGGTTTGGCGGTTCCGTAGATTAGCCCGGGTATACAAAAATTGTAAAATCAATTGAATTGGTTTTATGTAATTATGATTTTAACATAGATTAAAATTGCAGTTATTTTAAAATTATGGATTTTATGTAGATAAATGTATGTAACGTTTTTTCATAGAATTAATATGAATGTGTCTATAAAATCATGAAACTTATTTAATTAATGTACATGAGTGATTTCACAATTTCTCCAATATTGCTAATAAATGTAAGAATTCATTGTTTTATGCTTCTTTCTTGGAGTTGCTGTTATAATGATAAGAGGGGGAAAATTAAGTTCGGAAAGGACAGAGAGGCGGGGCAAGTGGATAATCTTACACCCTTTCATAATTTTTCTTCGCAATTTAGAAACTATGTTCCGTGAGATTTTACATGGTCATGAAGTATATTTTAGTAAATTTATTTTTAAACGTTTTATGTTCTGAGCATTATATATTCTGGAATATCCTTGTAAGTATTGTATGTGGGAAGTGTTCGTATTGATATCAATTCGTTCCTAAACTTTCTACTGTGTAATTTTTCATTGAAAACTGTATTTTTAGCTCTGTCCTCGATATATCTCGACAGAAACAACCCAGAAGCTCCTGTATATCTCAACTTTGACTTCTCTCAACTTTTGACATCTGTCAGCCGTGACCACGCCATATGGCACTTGACAGGGGACAGGTGGGCTGTGGGTGTAGTTTTCGTGCTGGTTTATGGGGAGTGATTTGGACGTCTCGAGGTCTGTTGGGTTCTTCACATCCACCTTTTGGTTCAACATCCTATTTTCTGAACGTTACAATCTTCTCTAGGAATATATTGTGCTTTGCGTAAATTAGTGTAATATAATAAATACAAATTTACAAATGTGTATTATTCAACGAATCATCAAAATCAATCATGAGAAGAGCTTCGAGGGTGTCCATTCACTTTGTCCCCCTAATGCACATTATTTTCAAATGCAACTTCCGTGTACGCGAAAAAGACGAGTGCGCGCGTGCATGCGTGCGCGTTTTCCGTTCGCCATCTCTCTCTTGCAGATGTTCTTCATTCCTATCTCTAATTTCGTTGCTCGAGTAGGACGTCGTTGCCGTCATTCGTCAGGCAGCTTTGGTTTTGCCTCTTTATGAGAGTATGTATTATCACAACAGCGGTTTGAATGAAATTGCAATGCCGCTGCAACGTTTGTATTCCTTTCTGAATAACAATGTTTCAAAATCCAATTTTCACAACTGTGGGATACACTGATACAGGAAAAAAAATTACTTCGACTTGAATATTACTAACATTAATGTGGAAAGAGCCGTGGATGAAATGGGAAATCTTTTCAGAACAAAAGGAATATTTTAATAAATGAGTTGTATTTCAGAAGTATTCTGGGGAAAAAATAATTGACACCTGAACTAAATAGGTTATTCATTCAATAAATATGTAAATCATTGACTGTTTTTGAGACTACCGAGTTATAATTTTACCAAGTGTAATGTTCATATTTTCGTAAGGTTTTCTGTGGATTAATAACTAAAAAAAATTTTTTCATGTAGTGTGAATTGCAATGTATTTCTGACTTTCATTTTTGCAGGAACATGGACTCCTCAAGGTCAGTTCATTCAGCAGTTAGGGCCAATCCAAGAAGACCTGAGGTACCATCACCATCCTCAGTACAGCAGTGCTGCTCCATACCATCAGACTCCAGGTAAGTCTTTTGAACAATGCAGCAAAACTGTTTAGAATTATTGCAAAGATAATTTATTGCCTAAAGATTAAAAAATGATTACATCTTTAACATTTTCTGTTATTTTTAACAAGGAGCGTTTACTTCCAATAAAATGCATTTCAAACAAAGTTGAGGGCATTTGAGAAATTGTTGGAATGTGCATTTCTGATCCTCTGTTGCCTTTGCTCCAGGTTATCAGCAGCAGAGTACATTCCTCAGTAGTGACCCATCAGCCACAGCATTTCAGCAACAAACAGCTGCATCACAGGCTGCCGCTACTGCCACTCAGCAGACCCAGTCTGTGGCAGCCACTGCTCAACAGCAGTACAGTGCTGCCACTCTGAGCAGTGCAAGACCCCCTTCTTCCCCTGCCCAGCCCCTCACTCCTCGGGGTGGCAGCAGTTCATACTCACAGGTGCACACACCTCAACCATCACCCCTGGGGACCACAAATGGCCTCTCCAGCAACCACTCAAGTAAGCACACACTCAGTTATGCTTTGAATAAACTAGTATTAATTGAAATGTTGAAATTTTAATTAAAAAATGTACCACAATTATAATGGGGAAACTAAATAGAAACTGGTTGTGCACTTCTCTACATCATCTAATCATTGCAAAATTGTTAGATTGCTGAACACAAGACCTCATTAAGGTTCAAAGAGATATTTAATTTGTAATCAAGTTATTCATAAATATAATACAATATAGATTGCATTTTATTTTATTAAAATTTTAGCAAAATTAAGCAGGAATATTGTACAATTTTATAGTATTGAAATTAATTCATAATTTGGAATTTTTAATTACTTATTTATTTAACAGGTTCTGTTGGTCTAACTAACAGTGGTGTTAATGGGTTAGGAAATGGTCATGGTGGAACAGCTACAGTGAATGGAGTCAATGGTGGAACAGTTCACAGAAACGGTACATTAAATGGTCAGTACATGGACACATCTCCTGGTAGTCAATATGCTGATCAAAGAGAGTATGTTAATGGTGGAAGTAGTTACAATCCATCTCAGGTAAGAAATCATACATTTCCTAAATTGCTTCTGTAAAAACTAGAAAACTATGAATTAGAAATTATTTTTGGTGCATAAAGTAAGAATGTTAGGAAACATTATTGTTTTTTTGTAAAGTATAATTTTTATTATCTGCTGAAACAATTTAATTATATTTATAATATAATTATTACATAAATTACCCTAAAATAGGTTGTTTTCTTTCTTTTGCACAGGATGTAACTATGGCTCCTCCACCATCTACAACTCCAACGAGCCGCAGTAGTTCCGTTCATTTGGATCAGAATGCTGCAGATGGCACAAATATGCTCAACAGTACTAAAAACTCTGGAAACTACAATAATAATTCCACTGCCACCAATGCTTCAAATAATTCAACCGGTCACCCAAACGCCTTGCCTGGATACCTACTCCCCCCCCAACTGCAGCAGCAGCATCAGCAGAGTTTACAGAACTCTAGTAGGTATTCAGGCCAGGAAAATGCGGGGGAAATGATTGGATCATGGAGCAGTGCTGATGCTAGGATAGGGTGGCATCAGAATGAGCATAACAATACCAGTAAGACTGAACCAGTCAATATGTATAGGGATGATGATTCCAGTGCCAATGAATCATCAATGTACAATGAACGAGTAAATCTTAATAGTAGATTAAAAACCATGATATTAAACAAACAGCAGCAACAGCAGCACCTGAACCAACAGCTCAATCAGCAGATGCATCAATATAGTCAGCTTCAGCAGCAACAACAAATGCAAAGACAAATGTCAATGGAAAACCTAAATCATCTTAGTTCCTCTGATGCTAATAATAGTCATAACAGTCATAGCAGTCACAATTCATCTAACAGTTCACACCATCTAATGAGTCCCACTGAGCAACAAATGAATAATCAACATTCACAACAAAGAATGCCTTCAGTACCAGTATCCCAAAGCCAATACATGTCTTCTCCGAACACAATGATGTCCCAAAATTCTGAAAATCATGGTGTAGTGGACAGATTGATGAATGAAAGGCATAGCAGTGTTGAGAGAATGATAAATGAGGGTCAGGGACACAATGTAGAGCATATGATAGGAGAAAACCATAACTCAGTGAATCAGACATCAAGCAATCACAACAACGTTGAACAAATGATGAACAGAGATCACAGTGATGTGGATAGAATAATGGGGGACAGCCGCAGTAGTGTGGAAAGAATGATAGCTGACAATCAAAATGGTGTGGATCAGATGATGGAGAATCAAGCTGGAATGGAGAGAATGATCGCAGACAATCAAAGTCTTGATAGAATGATAGCTGATAATAGTGACATAGATCGGATGTTAGCTAACAGTCAAGTGAATGTGGAAAGAAAGCACTCGGATCAGCATCACCAAGAAGCTCAACCAAATTCAGAGAATAATTTTTTAGTGCAAGGCCACCATCCTCGGAACCAAACGTCGGCTCTGACATCTGAGGGTGGTGGCTTCTCGTGGGATTGGGTGGGGAATAATTCAGCATCACATGTAGTGGACACTAACAGTATTGCAGCTATGGAAAATTTCATTAAGTATGCAGCTGGAGATGACAGATGTGGTGGAGGAGGGAGTAGTGGAGGAGGAGGGGGAGCAGCAGCAGCTGCAGCTGCAGCTGCAGCAGGAGGACCTGCAGGTAGGGGAGCAGGTGGGAGGGGAGAAGGAACAAGTTCAACAGCTGATGTGGGTCTTGCTGCACCATCAGCTTCAGTTAAGTTTTTAACTGGGAATCAGTCATCTTTATTTCATCAGAAATCTAACACAAATAGTAGACGAAGTAGCAATGAAATTACAACCCCATCTAGTTGGCATTCTCCTATTATTCAAGAGCCATCCTCAGTTTCTTCCAGATCATCATATAAAGATCATTCCATATCACGAAATCATTCTACTGCTTATCCGTGTCGTGATTCCTTAGTTGATCCTTTGAATAGTACCTATAAATGTAAAGGAGAAGAAGTTGATGACAAATCATTTCAGAAGCATATTGGTGTAGGTATGAACACTAGAAATGAATTTCCATTGCCAACATATCCTAGTGGAAAACATGGGACAGACATAGAAAAGGATCTTCAGGTTGACCCTATGCGAAATACATCCAATAATTACTCTTGCCAGAAGACTGTTGAGAGGAAATTATCGCAGGGAGGATTGGGAAGCAACTTCCATTGTCAACAACCAGCATCAATGTATGAAACTTCGGGAATTAAAAGTGAACATCAAAAACAGGCCCCTGGTCATGTGAATATTCCTATAAGTAACTCGTATCACTGTCAGAAATTCTCAGAGAATAGTCCTCTTGCAACAGAATGCAGAACCATGAATCAGCCTACCAACTCTGGCTATCCATGTTCAAGTTTGAAAAACAAAGACGACCCCTCAGTAATATCTGAAAGCAGAGAAAATAAACAATTAGATACAAACATTAGAAAGGAGGAACCAAAGGTGAAAAAAGAACATCCATCCCATATCTTTGCTGGAGATGGAGGCCCTGCTGCACTGGAAAAAATGTCAGGGGCCTGGTGTTGCCGTCAAGGAGGGATCGAAACCCCAACGCCCGAACACCTACGTGATGGTTGTTGCCAAGGGCGTCAGACTGCAGACGAGTTCGACACCAAGCAACAGACCCAGTGTCAGGAGTCAGAAGAAGCTAGCAACCCCAAAGGATATGGTGGAATGACAGCAAAAGAGTTCCAGGACCATATGGAAAGACTTAAAAACAATGTTAGGACTGAAGTACCTGACTGTAACTGCTTCCCACCTGATAAATGTGAGTATTTGGAAAAAACAGCACTATTGCTAAATCTTGGTAATGATAAATTAATAAAGTATGAACTAAATGATTTTTTTTTTCTTTCTTCTCATTTCAATGTCTCAAAGAAGTTAGTATTTTATTCTCAGAATTACCATGTTCAAATGATTTATTCTTTTGTGATAATCTGACTGAGTAAATTTATTTCAGGTCCTCCAGAACCTGGTTCCTACTATACTCATTTGGGCGCTGCAGCAAGTTTGCCAGATTTACGCAAGGATTTAGAAAAACGTACTGGACTTTCTGGAAAAGCGGTTCGAATTGAAAAAGTCATGTACACTGGTAAAGAGGGAAAAACCACACAAGGATGTCCTTTGGCAAAATGGGTTAGTTGCACTACTCTGACCCTATGAAAAATGAAAGATTTATTTTAAGTCTTACCTTAAATTTGGTGAATAGGCATTCAGCGAATTTTTTTGACCTGTTCACTATATTGTTTTTATTATTATTATTATTATTATTATTATTATTATTATTATTATTATTATTATTATTATTGTTGTTGTTGTTGTTGTTATTTTTATTATATTTTTCTTTTGTTAGTTATTGAAAATCTGATGGGTTATTAATTCTTGTAATTTAACTTGAAATTGCAGATTATTCGCCGATCCAATAGTGATGAAAAGCTGTTGTGTATTGTGAAGCACCGTCAGGGTCATAAGTGTCCATCTGCTTGGATAGTAGTGGTGATGGTAGCATGGGAAGGAGTACCCCCTCCTGAAGCTGATCGTGTGTACAACTTGCTTACCCACAAGTTGAATCGATATGGCTTACCCACTACTCGACGTTGTGCAACTAATGAACCAAGGACATGTGCGTGTCAAGGTTTAGATCCAGATACATGTGGGGCATCTTTTTCATTTGGTTGTTCATGGTCTATGTATTACAACGGCTGCAAGTATGCTCGCAGTAAGACTGTGCGCAAGTTCCGTCTGTCAGTGCGATCCGAGGTAATAAATTTCTCAGTGAGTGAAAATGTACTTTCACAATTACATTTGAATGATGTTTAATAAATATGTAAGTATACATATTATATGTATGAATTTTGTGTTGAAAAATTAACTCATTTTTAGGAACAAGAAGTTGAAGAGAGGATGCATGTTCTGGCAACTCTATTGTCCCCTCTTTATCAGACGTTAGCTCCTGATGCCTTTACAAACCAGACCCAGTTTGAACGGGAGGCATCTGAGTGTCGTCTGGGTTTCAAACCAGGGCGGCCTTTCTCTGGAGTCACTGCATGCATAGACTTTTGTGCTCATTCACATAGAGATCTACACAATATGAATAATGGCTGTACTGTGGTGAGAATAAAAACTGAAATTTTATTTTAGAGCTTCATTAAATTTTTTTTTCATTAGTTTCTAAATGTAATAATATATAATATAATATAATAATATATTTTATAGGTGGTGAGCCTGACAAAGCAAAGGTCTTTGGGAAAACCAGAGGATGAACAACTTCATGTTTTACCTCTGTATATAATGGATGAAACAGATGAATTTGGCAGCAAAGAGGGTCAGGAAGCAAAAGTAAAAGCTGGAGCTGTTGAAGCACTTACAAAGTAATTGCAGAAATTATTTGATCTTTAGCAGTTGTGTATTCTTGTTATGTGTTGAACTCTCCTTGTCTTTTTGTTTTATTGTAACATTTTTTAGGTAGATTTGAACAATTTTTAGGTAGAATTGAAATTTTGTAGTAGAATCCAGTTACGCTGTGGTGTTCTTCTTGCATTAGAGAGCATTGTAGATAAAACTGGTAAATAAATTTTGCATGACAGGTCATCCTACTTCTTTCTATTCTGCTTGTGGGTCTACTACATGCAAACATTTTCTCTTTTATTTATGTTTCAATGGTGAGGGCAGCATGAATTATTATTTACATTTTAATTTATTTGCTTTTATTATCTTAGTATTAAAATAATTTATCATTTACAAATTGGAATGAAATAGATTTTATTGGTGAATAGTCCTTTCCATAATATTCCTTCAATGACTCCTTCAGTAGTTATTTTTGTAGTCCTATTAGAATGTAGTAATTGTGCTGAGATCCACTTTTCGGAGCGAGTTGCATGTTAAACTGGATTGTTCATTTTGCCTGGCAGGTTATCCAACTTCTTTCTGTTTTGCTTGTAGGTCTGCTTTGTGTAAATACTTCCACTCTTAACAATGTTATAATTTAATTTTATTCATATGTCACCACCTTGTCACCTTTGTGGAAGTCTTAAGTGAAACAGAAATATGTTCTACTAACATTTATCCACATGATAACCTTGTTGCAATGTATCATCAGTATAAGTAAATTGTACAGTGTTTCATAGTACCAAGGTGAACTCATGGTCATAAATAGGGTGACTAATGCTTATAATTAAGCTTATGATTATATTATCATCATCATCATCATCATCATCATCATCATTATTATTATTATTATTATTAAATTGTTCAAAGAAGTTTCTTTCTCAGAATTTTGTAGACAGTATTTTAAGGCCTGAAAATTTGCAGTCCCACTGCAATGCTTGTCTTGCAATAGAGAGCAAATAAATTAAACTGGTTTACAAATGTTGCATGGCAGGTCATCCTATACATTTCTGTTTTGCTTGAAGGGCTACTGCATGCAAACTTTTTTTTCTTTTCCTATTTACATAGCTTTATAATTTGTGGAAGTAGAAGATTAAGCATTCAAAATTTAAGATAATGAAAATATATCAATCTGCATATTATGGACATAGAATCAAGCCATTAATCTTTGGATACAGAAGTAGGGTACCTGAATTATTACATTAAATTTGTAATAAATCCATGAACAATATTAATCCCTTCTACATTGATTTGCTATTTTATAACGAGTTCTTTGATGTGGTATAACAAAGTAAGTTACCTCCTGATGTTTCTCTCTGCAATTTATATTCTTATTAGCGTGTTTTTTCTATGCTGTAGCATAATGTGTGTAAGTTGTTGTGAAATGGAAAGTAGATGCTGCAAACAATTGCAGTTTGTTAAAAATGTTAATAAGCTGACACATCATGAAAATGTTTGTAAATATAGGAGTGACTTTTTCGTACGTTCAACGCTTTTATGGTTGAGGAAGTTATTTTCATTATCAAGGAGCAAAACGATGTGAGGAAATTAAAAAGATGTTTTGGCAACAGATTATTTATTTATGTTTTCTCTTATATATTAACAATTCTGTATCAAGTTATTACTCTTTAGATGAATTTTTTCGAAATTGCTTTTCTAGAGAATTGTTTCTTTTTATCATAAATCTTAAAGTTTTCAATATTAATGTTTTCTTCAGTATATTGTTGTCACACGTTTTTCAAATGCTGAATATGTTACTCTCAAAATATTGACTCAAAATTTAGTTGTAATATCAGTATATCTGTGATTTACTGTATGTCAGGAATGTTTTTTTCTGAAATAAGTAGAGAAAGAAGTAGTGGGATATTGAATTATCATGTGCAACTAGTAAGGAATGAAGTAGAAGGTGGGTGATGTTCCCTTTTTTCTGGGTGCAGCTAACTTGGAAAAAGTCATGAGAGATTCTCAATTCTCAAGAGATTGAAACAACTACAGAAACCAAAAAAGGAGGGAGAGATACCATTTCTCAATTCTATATATGTTTATAGTTATTATTATACATTAGGCCCTAATTAAATAGTGTAAGAGAAAACCAGTTGAAATAGAAAAATGAAGAAACAACTGCAGGTATCTCTTAGAAAGTTTTCTTCAACATTCTTCTGACTTGCTTGGAATTTAAGAAGTTTGAGTTAAAGTTAAGAATTACTTAGGACATGTTTTGTTTTTGAATGTGACAACTAAAAATACTTTTTTGTTTTTATGAATGTGTTAATGAGTCCGTCGAATTATGTACCAGTGATCCCTGGATTCTTCCGTTTGCCTTGGAAGTTTTCCCCTGACACACTGGTAGAGCAATTTTGCTAAGTCTTCTCTTCATCTTCTCTCCCAAGGATGGAGAAATGATAAGTGCATACAGAAATTACAAATGAACTCTTATTCATCCCCACCTTCTTCAGCAAACCAAGAGAGAACGCCAAATAAAGATTCCCCCCTCCCCAGCACAAAGTTTTCAGCTGATTTTGATGTTAAATAAATACATTATATAAGGTTATTGTATTTACATGTGTACTGTACAACATCATTTTTTCACATTGTATTTTAATTTCATTGACCTTCTGTCAGGTTCCCTTGCGAAGTAAGAGTACGAGCTGTTCCTCTCCAACCCTGTAGACGGCATGGAAAGAAACGTAAAGAAGATGAACCGGATGCTGTAATCAGTCGCAAAGAAACAAATAACTCTTCAGTTCATCGAAGTCCTTGCACAGTTGACCCACGAAATGCATCTGCAATGGGAATAGATATGACAACAATGCTAGAAAACATGGAAGCACAGTTACAGAGCTCACAGGTAATTTTCAATACAAAATATCGTTTCTTGAATTTTTTAAATTCTAGTTAGAATACACAATAATTACACATTCCAGAGCAAACTTAAATCTACAATGAAAAGTTAAATTATTTGTTTGTATTAAAAAACTGCGGATGAAAGTGAAACTGCAAATGAATTCAGTATAAAGTGAAAATTGTTAATCCTAAAATGAAATCAGTGGATTTGAGATGAAGTAATTTACATGTTTTTGTTGTTGTTTTTGATTTGAAGAGCAATACTCTTGTTAAAAGTTATTTTCCATGTTAATCCTCATCTTTTTATAAAAAATTGTACGAATTTAATTGTAACACTTTTGAAGCCTTACTTATGCAAACGATGTAATGAAATATTATAAAGCAGTTGAAATAAATGCTTCTGAATATTTTAGTGATTGTAATTATATTCAAGATACAATGCTTAAGCAAAAAACTTCAAGTAACTGGAAATTTTTTTTTTATTAATTTCAATTTTTGTAGAATTTTGACTGATAAATATAAAATTTTAGAAAATGTTTGTTTATATTTTATTTAATATACATTCTCATTTAAGTACATCAATTAATAGAAAAAATTCAATATATTTGTAGATTTCATTAACATTGAAATACTGATGAATTATTTCTAAATGAGATAAAAGCCGGAGTATTCACGTGGGGACGTCCATAAATTACGTAACGCTAAAGAAGGAGTGAGGGGCGTCTATTCGATTAGTGTTACGTAACATTGGTGTTTTTTTTTTTAATTTTTGAAATACTTTTGTTGTTTTAAAACATAAATAATTTAAAGTTATGTCAAGTTATAATAAGTAGAAATATTTTTTCATCAATTTTGTATTACATCTGTAACATTACAAAGAAAATATTCAAAACTGTTTTGCAGTTCTTTGTAGAATATTAAATTGGTACAGTAGATTCTTACCCATGCGCCATCCAAAATGGCGGCATGTGCACAGCAGGTGATCAGAAATTTTCTCGCCTATGTCCTTCACTCCCTTCACTCAACATTTGCCCTCAATCTTATTGGTAGATGCAGTCAGCATTGAGAACTAATTTCCGACTTTAATTAACTTAAATTTTAATACACAACCCAAAAAAATAAATATTATTCTTTTACTGAACTATAATGTAATCCTTACTTTTTGCATTTATAAGGGGTCACAAAAAATACATAATTATTTAGGGAGGTTTCAAGTGCAAGTTACTGGGGAGAGGGGATATTCAAAATATTCCAAATTTGCATTACGTAATTTATGGATGGCCCCTATTCTTTGAAAAAAGGTAATATTCCATTGCCTACAATTGTCTGATTCCTATATTTTGTGTGATAGTTATATTATTTTCAAATACTGTTGATTAATGCACTCGTGCATTAAAATGTAAAAAATCATTCATCTTTCATTAATGTGCTCTGGATCAATTATAGTTGCTTATTGTGACTTTTGCTTTCACTCCTTGCAACAAACAAACAAACAAATACCTGGCATGATGTAATGCTAAGGCTGTGTATGTTTGTTACATTCATGCAACTCCTTACAGTTGCTGTAGTTCAAAGTGAATAGAGGCTGCTGTATGGCTTACACTGTGTCCTTTTGCATATGCTGAATGTACCTTATTTTATTTCCAATATATTCCATGCTCTGTGCCTCCATGTCATTTTTGTTGAACAAACATACCTTTCTAGTACAAAACTAATTCCATTTCAAAGGAAACTCCAGCATTCTGGCATGCATGAGTATGCTGTGAATCACATACTTAGCTTGTATCATTGTGACTATACTCTTTCTCTTCTTAGTCTTCTATTTCCTAATTTTCTAAGCATCTTTTAGTCATGATCCTTGAGATCATATCATATTATCATCAAGAAAACAATTATTAGTTTTGGTTTAAGTTCCTTTGCAATATTTGTGCCTTGCCATAGTTTTATTCATACTTTCCGAATAATATTCAGATGACAGTATGTATTTTGCTTAGGTAGTATATTTGGCTCTTAGCAATGAACCGGCATGTCTCTTTAATTAGATTAATATCATATTTTCTTTTAGAACTCCATTCAACAGTTGTGAAACACTATTATGCCAAATATATGATAGGCCCAATTCAAGTGTTCTTGTAACTTGTTGGATGTGTTCTTTTCTGTAATTCTTTGATACTTTTTTTGACAAACATTATTCTTGCTTTTCTACAGAAGTCCAAGGAAAATATTTGGCATTGAAAAATTATCAATTCAAAGAATTACCTGAGTGGTAGAAAATGTCTGATTCTTGTAGGTGTATGAAAAACATTTCCTCTTAAATCTCTCTGTTTGGCTGAGGCTTTAGTTTTCGTGTTTATGTTCATGTAAGATGTTCATCCTGCTCCTCCTTTGCTAGAGCTAGATCTGAGCATTTGTCGCATGCGCAGGTTTCGTCCACTGTGTTGGACAGCCCTGTCTCCATGTACCAGGGCTGGGGCTATCCCCACCATCCTACGGCAGCCGGTATTGATTCTCGCAGTACAGAAATGTACCACCCTGGTGCTTCTGCAAGTGCGTCCAGTGCTTGGGGACACCACAGGAGTCAGTGGATGGCAGCTGAAGCTCAGTGCAAACAGTCTTGGCTGAACTCTGGCTGGGGAGCTGAATTTGGTGCCCTCTGTGGTGGCACAGAACGCATGGATCCTGACAGCACTACTAACCACACCGCTGCTTTGGCAGCCACTAATAACCAATCCCCTTTAAGCCGTACAGCAGTATCAGCAACTGGAGGGCTATACAGTAGCTTGGGACTAAACAGTCCATCCTCGGGGTTACCCCAGTTTGGTGGAGGACAGATGAGTCCCATTTCATCATCCTTAAACAACCATGCATCGACACCATCAAGTCCATTTGTGTTCCAGCAACCTGCATCTCTATGGCCAGGAGGGGCTTCAACTCAAGGGCAGCATGGAGGGTCAAACCTCGGTCAGGGCAGTGTTACTTCCTCTTCATGGCAGAATGGCTCCATGCAAACACCATCTGGAGATCTCCCTTCCAAGGTACCTTCATCACCTTCTGCATCTATTGGTATCACTTCCAAACAGAAAAGCCCTGCAAGTGATACAGGTGGAGGAATTTCAAGGCAGCTTGGGCAACAAGATTCAGTGTCAATGAGGACGGAGCGGTCACCATATGCTCAATTACCCTCCTCTCCTTTCTCATCTCCTACACAGCAGTCAGCCAGTAGCCCACAATATACTTCAAACAATTCCCTTCACCCACCTTCTCCCACAAATGCAGTATCCCTCCAACATTCAGCATCTAGTGCTGCAGGTGCTGTTAATGATGTTAATATTTCTCAAATTTCACAAGATAACTTGCAAACAACTAAAACTCCAGAACGATCAACTTCTGTGCCTTTGCCTCTGACACCTACTGAACAGTCTACTTCCTCCTCTTGTTCAGGGTCTAGTCGTGGAGGATGGGCTACACCAGATCGACCGCAATCATCTTGGGAGTATAACCCTCTCACTCCAGCTCCAACTGCTGCGACTTCACCATTTCGTATTCCCAAAGGTCGTCCTCCACCTGCAAGTACTTCAAATGCAAATTCATCTCCTGCATTAGAACTAGGGATAACAGTTTCTACAGCCTCCACAACACAGAGTGCACCCTCTTATTGTAAAGGTTTTTTGAAACCCTATCCTCCTGGAGATAAATCAAATTCTTCTGAAACTTCTCATCAATCTGGAGGAAGCACTTCAGTAAATATTGGAAAGGAAAGTTCTTCATCTTGGAATCAAGATTCTGGTTTCCAGGTTACAACTAAAACACCAAGACCTCAAAATTTATCTCAGCCTGCATTTGGATCATCTGGAAATTTGCATGATAATTGGTTTGGGAGTGAAACTTCTAAGGGAGGAGGTGGAAATCAAACTGGCAAAACATCATTACAACAATCAAGTAAGTATTTGTCATCTGATGGCGATAGTTCCTGCCTCTTGCCAGATGCATCTGGACCAAAGAATGCATGTGCGGCTGTGAAACAGGAGACCACCTCATCCTCTTCATGGCCTCCAAGTGATGAAATGAAAGGACTTGGTGATTATTTTAGTGTTGCAGCAACTGCTTCATCTGCCACTTATCCTGTCACTCCTGCTGTCACTAATCCATTTGTCTCTCCCCTTAATTCTAATTATGGATATTCTAATCCACCTTTTGGCTCTGGAGGATATTCAATGTTTCAAGATGCTAAAAGTTATGCTAGTGGTGCGTGGAGTGAAGCAGGATACATGGACTCTCGAGCTGCAACTCATATGAACTATCCATATCAGACAATGGATTTTAATTCTCAGTTTTATGCTGGTCAGGCAAAACAAGAAGCAGCCGCCAGATCTGCATGTTATCATTCTTCTCCTTATGGTTATCAGGGGATGGGTCCATTTAATCCACAATATGCTGGTGCACAGTATGCTGGCCAGTTTCCTCGATGGGACCCACATCGGTGGGATTTGTATGGTCCTCCACCTTTCTTTCCTGTGATGCCAGAACCACATCGTTCTGAACCCATTGGAGAAGTGACTGATTATATTGACAACGAAGAATGTTTCAAAGATTCTCAAATGGGAGGGGTGGCCATTGCCTTGGGTCATGGTTCTGTTCTCTTTGAGTGTGCTAAGCATGAGTTACATGCAACAACTGCTTTGCGACGACCCAATCGATTACACCCAACAAGAATTAGTCTCGTCTTTTATCAACACCGTAATCTCAATCGTGCAAAGCATGGTTGGGATGAGTGGGAAGAAAAGATGAGGCTTCGTAAACTGGGTATTACAACAACAGCTTCCAGCACTCCAGGTACTGGCTCTGGATCAAGTGGAGGAAATTCTAGTAATAACAACAGCAACCAAGGAAATTCAGCAAATAATTCAGCTGCAGATATACTACATCTTCTGCCTTCATCAGATAAACCTCCAACTCTGACCTCTCAGTTCCTAATGAGAACACCGACCTATACAACTACGACATGGACTACCTTATTTCCCATGCACCCATGTATGGTGACTGGACCGTACCAAGAAGGAGGTGCTGCAGGTTAAACATTCCAGAATATGTTTTCTTCACAACTAGTCTAAACAGTTAACTGTATTGGTAATCTCTGTGAGGTCTATGTAAAAAAAACTCACAGCTTCATATCCCTGTTTGCTCTTTTACTTCTCTGGAGCATTATTTGAAGGCTGTTTCTCAATATCTGCTTCAAACAGTATTAGTTATATAAATAGCAGTAATATAAATTATGAATGCCAAAATAGTAACCTGTGGACCATAATATACCACAAGTTATATTTTCAATACAAGGCAATATGTAGTCTACCAACATTAGCTAATGTGTTAGAGGTATAACTATGTTTAAGTATTTCTTGTTGCAGAAAATAACAGGCAATGAAAAATGTACATTTACTCATCACTTCTCTAAATGGATGAAAATGAAAGTTTAAAATCAAGGAATTTGAAAACGTTCTACATTCAAAGAAATTGAATTTGGCATTGCAGTTATTTCTATACCAAACACACAAGCAGTGTGAAGCCATTGCTGAAATGAATAACCTCTCTGGTTTTTCAAGTACACATGCTGCATTCTGCTTGTACTATGATAACAAGAACCGTTAGTGTACAAATTACCAAATTTTTGTTACAGATCACCTACAATAGTGGAAATAATCATGTATGTCTCTTGTAGAATGACATGTCTGCAATTGTATCAGTGTTTTAGGATATTTACAATACTAATATATGTATTGTGTGCATAATTTTAAATCCTCTTTTAAAACTATACAATGTATGTTAATTTTTACTTACAACTGCCTAATTTTATGTCATATTTTGCTAATGGTTTTGTACACAGCTGTATTTTTTATTTTGTGAAGAATTGTTGTGTAAACGATACCAATGACTACTAGGAATTACTGTTTAATGCTACTCAGTTTATGGTCTATGATACAAGTATTTGTGGTATGGCTTTGATTAAGTGATTGGGAAGAGTGTGACACTCTTGATGAGCTTACAATGTATTAAAGAATGCAATTTGTCGTGTAATTAACTGGTCTTGGAATGTAATTGTGTAGGTATTTTAAATTGATTGTTGATAGTGGAGACACTAAGAATTACATATGTAATATCATAACATTTTCAAAATTAAGATGTTACTCTCCAAACCTGACAGATTGATTTATTTGAAGTAACATACCCGATTCATCACATGTTACATGTTTTTCATAGTTTTTTGTAGACAAAATAAATTTAATATCAAAATCAATTCAACATATCATGTTATTTGATAATTCTATTTTGAACTAGTCTAATTTGCCATTTTTAATATTTTGACACATTTATTTTGGTTCTTGTGTCAAATAGTTATAATTCAGGATATTTGAAGTATGTAGGTAGCTAGTCCAAGCCATAAGTGTTCTTTTTCAAGAATGTGTATTCTGTTGTCAAATGATCTGCTTATTATATATTTGCACACCGAGAAAAATAGAGGAAGAGAGATTATTTCTATAAATTTGCAATGAAATTTCACTCAATTGTGTTATGTATTCTGACAAATTATTAAGGTTAATAATAGATTTGCTTTTATAAAAGAAAATCTCTCTGGCACGCAATTCTCTCTATGATCTTTGTTACAAAGAATAAAGAGATTTTCCTACATGAAATTTCTCAACGAAAAGTTGTTAAAACTGTCTCTAAAACTGTTATTTTTAATGCAAAATAATGTTTTTTGTATTTTATATTTCTTCGCATTTTTGTAAAACAGTTTTTATGGTGTTGTTGCCTGTATTTTCAATATTGCTGTATTTTACTATTTTGTGGACTTAGCTGCTTGTTTAAATTCATTTTGAAAACTTTTATCATAGACTGTATTCAACTATAAGCCACAGAATAAGTATTCAATTAATGTTCTTAATTTTTGAAGTGCATGTTAATTTAACTTTTCATTTGCATTATAGTTGATTGTTTTTATTTAAACTAATCATGTATTATTGGCTCTATTGACCTACAGCTCTCAATGCCAAATGATCTACGAGTTGTCTGTAAATTATAAGTAATTTCTTTTTGTGTGAACATTAATGTAGATAAGAAAAGATGGTTGATAGTTCAGTACATACCTATGTTTCATTATATTGTAGTGTTAGAAGATGCTTGCTGTGATATGTAATGAAACGTTGGCAGTACTAAGCTACCACTACTATCCCATGTTGCATGAAACTGCTTCCACACATTAGTTCCTGGTTACAAAAAAGTTTCTGTATTATTGTTATTCCCAAAGATATTTCTAGCTTGAGACTTTCCTAAGATATTCTTGTGAATTTTCACACAGTTGAAATGCACATAAATGAGGTCAAAAGCACTTCTCATTTCACAAACTTTTCACAAAAGTACGTAGCTAGTCCAGTCTCCCAGGTAATGTTTACTGCACTGTATTTTTAAAATAGATATCTTATTTAAGTTGCCAGCTGGCTAAGTTGGGGCAAAGCACTGATCTCACGTCATGTATTATTGTTGTGTTTCTAGTTCGTAGTCAAGTTTTAAAATGCGAGCAACTTTAGTAATGCTGAATGGGATAACTAAGGTTTGATATAAGTTTTGTGCAACTTTCAGAACTGTTTTTTGCATTTTTATGAGTAAAGCTCAAACCATACATAGTATGGACAAAAAGACTAGGCTCTTTGTTAGAAAGCCTGTATGTAAGAAATTTCTGGTAAAAAAACCACCAAACATTTTAATCTACATTTACAATGGTAGGGCTCTTTTTCAATCCCAATGTGTTTGTAGAGGTAAAGCATCATTGTAATTATTAATATATAATTATTTAATTGTAATCAAAATGTAAGGTTTTGACTGACTGAAGGATGGTGTGTAATGATTTTTTATAAAATCCTTTTCCTTATTTTTGAGGAACTGCTTCATATACACTGTATTATTTATAAGGTCACAAACAATTATGAAATTATTAACTTATATATTGTGAAGTAAGGGAATGGAGGAGAGAGAAAAAAATATTTTTTTCAATAGGAGTGTGCTCTCTTCCATCCCTGTGTTTTCAGTAGTAGATTTAAGTGTTAGACCTAACTTATTGATGTTCGTATTCTGTCACTCGCCCTCCTTCCTCCCCCACTGCCTTCTCAACATGAGCCCCTTACATAGGTTTCTTCAAAAAGAAAAGAAACTTCACTCACAGAACCAAAAGAGGAAGCTATTTTTGGAAATGAGTGATGAAATGTTGTTATATAGAAGTTGATGATAAAAAAGACTAGTATTTTGACAATATGGTATTTCAAACAAAAATAAAATCTAAAAAAATGACATAAATACTGCTAATTTATAAGTAATGTGTACATATACGTTTCTGCAAATTTTTTTATAAGGTCGTTTTATTCTTCTCTTGTGTAATCTAGTGACAAATGAGCCTAATTGGCTTCAAACTATTTATTATTTTAAAATTTTTTAAAAATGTGATTACCCCCTTTTAAGAACTGATAGTAGCTAGTAAGAATTTTGGCAGTCAATTTTTGAAGCCATAAAAATAATGGTGAATCATTGAGATAGATTTAGTGATATGTAGTTGAATGCTCATTGAACTTGACATCCAAAACTGACAGAAAAGATAAACAAATTGTCTCAGAAACACTAAAATTACCAGAAGTAAGGATCCAAAATATTACTCTATAGGTATTTTAATGAAAGAATCTCTCTCTAAAAGGCAATATTACATTTCACTTTCTCATACTTTTAGATTACAACAATAACTAGATTTATCTAATCATCTACAGTTCATCATTGTAATGTATCTGCCATACACTGCATCAGACACTTTTTCATTTGCACATGATAAAAGATGCTTCCAATAAATACTCTGTTATAAAACTTTGCAGCCATTAATGCAATTTATGATTTGAAATATTAAGAAAGCAACCAGCTTGCTGATTCTCTTTTGATGAGGGGAAAATGGGCTCATCAATAATTAACAAGAACATTTTTGCTTGCTTAGAATCAAATTTTCATTGCCAATTATTTGCATAATTACACTTTAGGGCCAGCTACTGGCTCTGTTTACAGTATTTTTTTGTATAAGAATTGTATTAACTTTTATCTTCGTTGTGTCCTGATCTTCATTAGTATTTGTTGATAATTAGGTTTCCTTTTTATGAAACATAAATTATTATTAATGTTTTTATAATACATGTGTGTACATATTGAACTGTCGCTCATTAAAAAAGAGTACAATTTTTTTAAGTAGTATGAAGTTCAAACTTTACTTGTCAGCTGAATTTTTGTTGCATTTTTTTGAGGAGAGTTTTGATTGACTTAAAATTCCTTTCAGTGAAAATGAGAGATGATGTTGTTTTATAAGTGCCAAGACACCCTGAGCTAGATGAAATGTATGTTAGCATTCAGGCCCATTTATTGATGCCTTCAGATTTTAGTTTTCTAGTGAATGTCCCTGCTGTGTTCCTCTTGAGATCCAAAACATCATGATGCAGAATTTTTTAAGAAAATGTATCAAAAATTATAAAAACAAGATTGAAATTGTCAAGTACATGACAGCCCCATAGATTCCTATCACCATCCTCAGCCCTCCCTCTCACTCCATCTATTTGTAATTTGTACAGTTCTGAAAATCAAATGCGATTATCCTTCCATACAAAAGAAGTTAAAAAATGAAAGATTGTTTTATATATAATGAAAAATTCAAGCTAATTTTTAATGAAATATCTGATGTCCATCATGTTGGATATTAAAAAACTAGTTTTACATAACGGATATAATTTTTTTGAGAAAATATTGAAAACAATAGCCTATTAGTAAGTGTGTGTTCGTACATTTCATGTGAAAAAATAAGGTATTTAAATTGTAGGATGAAGCTTCTTGGAAAAATCAGTACAATATCACTCTTTTTTTCACATGAAAATATAACAAAAATAATATGATGAGAAAGTATATATTTATATACTTTGTATATATATTTTTGACACTTTGTGTAAAACAGAAACTGAAAATAGCATTTTGATGCCAGTTGATTAATCTGTGAGTGTTGTCAACATTTTTAGAGAGCAAGAGAAAGTGAACAAGAAAATAGTGTTTTGTGCTGTACAAATTAGTGTTTGTGTCATGTTTTTGTTCATTATTATAATTACTATTATTATTATTCAGGGAAACTATTTTTAATTTAATTTGTATTATGTGTTCTGTGTTCATAGACCAAAAATAAGTAAGACATAAAGGAGAATATTAATGAGTTTATCTCCAAGTCAGTCTTAAAACATTGTTTCTAAGGAATTTTAGAAGGTAAATGCTGTAGAAACATAATCCTATATCATAAGTAAACAATTAGTGATGTAGTTGTGAGTAAAGATAATTATAATAATGCATAATTGTAATTGTTTTTTGTGAATATAGCCACACTTTGTGAATATTTGTGAAGATACTTTTGTTCAGTTTCATTTTTGCTTTTTTGCAAGTATGTTTAAATGAACAGAATGAATAAGACTAAATGTTATTCTGTTCAATAAACATGCTCACATTCTAATTTCATTACCCCTATCCAAAACCCAGAAGTATTCAATGATCTTTTCTTAAGTAGGATAAAAACCCAAGAGAATGTGCTACCAAACAAAGCAAGTATTTCAATTAGTTGGTTATTGGCTACTGTCAATTAATACCCAAATTCAAAATCCATAAAATCAGTTGTGATGGGTGTGATTCATCTGAAGTTGTGACTAATTGGAAAATACTAATGCTCTTATTTTTGTTAACATGTAATGAGGCATAAATATGTGATAAGTAAATTCTTCAATAATGAAAAAAGATTAATTCAGTATTATTGCAAACCAGGTTATTTTTTGATTGCCTTTTTCATTATCTTTGTGTATTTCCACACAAACTCATATCTTTCAATCTTCTTACTATACTTTCTTTCTTTTATTTTTTTAAATTATATTTTTATTATTTATTTGTTTTTCTTGTGTAGGAAACAAAAGAAAACTTTTAAAAAATATTGGGGACCTTATGTACATACTTAGTTTGCCGTTGTGCCATTATGTTATTGTATGTACCCTGATGTTATTGTATAAAAATTGGAAATTATATATTACAAAAAGATATAAATATCCACAAAGTATCTAAGCTTTGAATGGATTGAAATGAACATTTTTGGCATAGAAATGCTTTTGAAAACTGATGTGCACTAATCATTACTACCTCATGAATAAAAAGAAAGAATTATGATATCAAGTGCAGAATTAATTCATTAGGAAATAAATATGAAAGTACAATGTCAACTTAAATCAAAGATACATTGGTATGAAATTCATCAACCAAAATTCAGAAAAATAAGTAAATAAATCCTCAACCAATAAACAAATTAATTAAGAGTGCAAACTTACAGTTATATCACCACAGGAAATACTTTCACACTTGAACATAATCAGAATCAGCTTAAAACATAACACACTTTTAACATTTTCAAATTAAATCCAGAACACACTTCTTTCCACACATTACATTCAAGTTTTTACTGTCCTTTGATGAAAGTAAATCAAATCAAATCACCCTCAGTTGCCAATTCACACAAACTCAATATTTGTTTTACTTATTTTGATTTGCTATACCAATACAGTTAAATCCTTAAGAATTCTGTCACTGAATAGATATATTTTTCTGATAATTACTGGTTTTAGGATTACACAGACCAGATACTCATGGAAAACATGTAAATAAATCAGAATTATACCTAATGCTGAATTAGAAACAATCATCTGACACGAGGAAGCTTTTTAACCAACTTCTTATATTGGTGAAAACAAAGTAATCACCATGATTGAATTTTAAAATAAGTTCTAGAAATGATTGTGTCTTCTCTGATCATTTTTGCATTACTCATGATGAATAGTAAGAAGGCTGACGAAGAAATCTACAATGGAACAAAATTTCCCTGAATATTCCTACCAATCAATTTTGTGTGGATGATGATATTCACATCCAATTAAGAATAATATTTTAATGGGTATTAAGATTGTCCTAAGTATGAGGTCCCTCAGCATAATGAACATATGAAGTCAAAACAATAACAAAATAAACTGTAATGTTTAAAATTTAAAATTTAATATCAAAATATTTCTCCATATTTTTTGAAAAAACAAAACATTGGAAGCATAATACAATCTGATTAAGTATTAAAACAACCTTGAGTACCTTACTTACAGAGTGGTATGTACACTGATTTCAATATTCTACTCTTATTATTTTAACAGTTTGACAGAGTTTGATACACGAGGTCATTGATCTTGATCACCAAGTGTCTCTAGCTATACTGGGAAATAAATTATAAACCACTATTATAATTATTCTTTCAAATTAAAAACTAGTGGCACAACAGCCCTTAGTTTATATTTATTTGTAACGGTTATGTAATGTTATAATAATGCTTCTTGTATCAATCTTATTCTTACCAGGGTACTATTTGTAATTTTATAATATTAACTAACCATTTTAAATAATACGAGAAACTATAGAGATATTCCTATAGTTTTCATCGGCAATGAAAGCATTAGGGACAGGCGGGATCTTTCCTCTATAATGTAAGAATGAAAGCCAAAGTAAATACAATTTATCATATACTTTATTATATACAAAGTGCATCCAGAAAGTAAGTTTTCCTTGGTCTTTAACAAAAAGAAAATACGGAGTAATATACGAAGTATAGAGAAATTTATGTAATGCTGCGGCCAAAAACGGCGATTTTTTAACAGAAAACCTCGTATTGTGGGGAATTGAAACATGTGGGCGTTGAAAAATGTGGATAAATCCAGTTCTAATATGTCGTAAAATACTCCCTCTAACTCGTCATGTAGTCAGATTTCACGAATAGGGAGACCTTGATACCAAAAAAAGTTTTCTTTTTCAAAACGTTCGTCCGTCCTTAACACCAGTGCCTAAGGCTGGCCTAAGGGGCCGTCCTTAAATTAAGTGAGGCTTTATTTCCGACTCCCCCTCCCCTTGGTAAGATGTGAGATTTGGCCTGACCCCTTCCCTTCTTATCTCACTTATGAATTTTGAAAATGCGTATTTGTAAATGAAAATTCGTTAAATTACTATTGATTGTATTGGGATTTATTTAAAAACATAATTTGCTTACTTATATTTATTTGGGACTAGACATGACTAGTATTTAGTCAATAGAGTGACTGAATTACAGTGAATATTATTGTACTTCTAAAAACAGTTAAAACACTAAACACCGCGATAAAAAGTATTGTGCAAAATTTTGCCATATTTTAGTATATAAACATGTTTTACTTAACTTGCCTCAGTTTTCTCACAATATAGCATTGGTTTTAAATGGAAGAAATGATATTTGCCGAGATCTCCTCTCTCCCCACGTATATTAGGTGAGATTCATCTTGACACCCCCCCCCCCAAAGAACCCACGTAATTATGGATGGCCCCGAAACTATGTGTTTTTCTCTCTCTTTTTTACTCGCGCTTAACAAGGAACTTCTTAAGAAGAGAAGTTATGTAATGCTACGCGAAAAACCTGCGATTTCCGTCAGGAAAACTTATTAGAGAGAAAAAGTGGAAAAATCGAGTTGCTAAATTTAGGGGAAATATCCTTTAACACTTGGTGTATCCAGAATCCCTGTTTTGAGGGTCCTTGATACCGAAAAATCGATTGATGGCAAAACGTCTGCCCGTTGGTCTGACTGTAAACAACCCTAGTGGATAAACCGTTCAGCTGACTTTCTCCTAATTTATATTCCCAATCGATCTTGCTGATATCGCGGCCTCTTGAATTAGAAATTGATTTTTTTATATTGAGGGTACTTTACATGAACCATTTTCAAATTTTTCAAAAAATTGGCGCCATCGATTTTTATTAAATTTTGTTGTTGTTGCCTGAAGGACGTTTAAGATAATGGCAAAAATCTCATATTCGTTGAAAACTCTGATTTTTCGAAAATAGAAAAAAATTTCAATATTTTTTGACGTCTTCCTACAACTAAAATATTAAAGATAAAAATTTTCTCCCTTGATGAAATATGTTCCTTAAAGATTGCTTGGCATCTTTTAAACATCTAATGGGATAATGCATAGAGAAATAAATATTCGGCTTCAGTAGTAGTAGAACAATTTGTGACAAGTGTAGAACAATTTCTAAAATAAATTTGAACTTTCGCAGTTTTCAAAATTTCAAAGGTTTTAATAAAAATCGTAGCTACTAATTTGTAAATGCCCCACCATGTCACGCACTTATTACTGCACTTTCTCTTTGGCTCTATGCTTCAACACAGGGGTCAATAAGGCCTTAGTTTGCATAGCCAGTGGGTGGGGTCTTGTGGACGAACGCTGCGTAGCGTCCGAAGGGAATACCAATTTTCTGACTTCGTCTGACACTAGCTGTAACATAATTTTATGAATTTCGCATGGCATTGAAAGTACACAAGATCAGTCAATTTTTGACGGTATTGAATAAATTATACTAATCAACATACATTATAGTGCCTCAGAAATTAAACTTTTTCCAGGGTATATCGATGTTACTGATTCCAAAAATGCATCAGTTTTGCACTATCAACTCTAGTTTTGTTACAGAATTATCATGTATTACTTCCACGCTGGGCTCTAGAATTTAGGAGATTCAATAGCATGTGGACATAAAATATTTACTTTACTGGTGTTAATTTGTTATAAAATGAAATAAATTTGTTTTTATAAATGAAATAAATTAAGAAGATAGTATAAAATCACATAATTTCTCACCAAATTGTGTTAAAAATTCAAAAAATCAACCATTCATTCAATACCCAAATAGGTTTTTTAAATATATTTTTTTGAGTGAGAAATGCTTGCTTAATATTCCAACAGTAGTCATGATACTTGTATCCCATTTTCCTTGGTGTCTCTCTTCCATTGGTGAAATCTTTCATCTTACTCTTCACTTAGATCATCAAGCGAAGGAAAGCAATACAAGTGGCTATGGCTATGTAGGTAATCAATCTTAATTCTCATTGCGCCAAGCATACGGAAATTGGAAAACATTGTTTCTACTAATTGTGAAAAGTTTTCTACTTTGTGCTTTCGTATAATGGTTTTCACTACTAGAACAAAAGAAGACTATGCCCTCGAATCATTTTCGCTCATGGGTTTCAAGAAATTTGAATCATTTACGAACTTTCTTGTTTGAAAAGCATCGAAAATCCGTGCTTCTATTTTCTTAATCCCTGCTTCCATTTGAATCATTTACGAGATTTCTTATTTGAGAACCATCGAAAATCCCTGCTCCCAGTTCTCGTTGGTGACTCCCGAAAATATACGTAATACACACTGGAAGCACAAACCATCTTACCCCAACAAATTGTTTCATCACGCCTAGCTCGATATGCTAAGGAGGGAGATTCATTTTATCTTGAGCAATAAAGGTAAATTGAT